TCTCAGAAAGTGTGACCTGAGAACTGCTGACTGACACACAAAAGTTCTTCCTTAACCATGGTTTTTTAAGTGATTATTGACATAATCACTTACTAGGGTCCTCCGAGGAGCATCTCAGAATCTCAAGTGTAAAGGGATCTCAGCGATGCCCCAGTTTAAAGTGCTGTGAAGGCTGGAGTCCCTTCAGCAGCATCCTTAGTAAGTTGTTCATTATCCAACCTCATGAGTCTCTTCACTCTAAAGTGGTCACTTCTATTTTAAGAATTTTTTGCCAGTTTTATTGCAGTATCATTGACATATAACATTGTATACATTTGTGTACAGCACAATGAATTGATAAATGTATATTACTATGAAATGATCACCACAATAATTTTATTAAAAAGCCATCACTCACTTTACAAATGTTTTTCCTTGTGACATTTCAATTTTTTTAAGGAAACTTTAGTTACTACAAAGTTCTTCATTAGGTAACAAACCTTTCCTTTCCATATTTTCTATCACTGATCTTTATTTTACTTTCCAGAGTTAACAGAATATATCCTTTTTTAAAAAAATGGTAGCCCTTGAAATACATAAAGCAGATGTATACTTGTCAGTTACAACTTGAAAATCTAAGGATGAGAAATTATACTAGGAACTTTAAATATATGATATCTTTAAACCTCATGACAACTTTTTTCAGGTCGGTATGTTGTGTCCATTTTATAAGTGAGGAAAGTAAGAAAGTAAGAAATTTGATCTGAGGTCACATAGCTAGTTAAGTGTCAGGTTTTGAATCTACATCTGTTTGACTCCAAAGGCTGAGAGGAAGGGAAAAAGGCACTTGCCTATGAAATAACCCAAAGAAGGTGCACTCACCAGACATGAAATAGTCTTAAAAAACCTTGGCTTGCTTTAACTTTTCATTACTTCCCTAATGCAACATATATTCTTTAAAAAGTTTATTCTAGAATAGTGGCACATCAACCTTGTGCTAAATGAGATTTTTGATTACATCAGCTTAAAAAAAAAAAAATAATGACAGTTTTTGCTCACTTCTCATTAAGTTTTTTGTTTCTTTTCTTTTGTTCTTCACAATGCCTTAAGCAATATTTCCCAAACTTCCCCAGTGGTATCACCTGGGGAACTGTTAAAAACACAAATCCAGAGGCTCTACCTCAGACCCACTGAATCATAATCTGAGAAGACTTTTTTTATTTCCTTTTATAACTTTTTATTTGGAAATAATTCCCAATTTATAAAATGTTGAAAAACAAAAACAGTGTAAAGATCGTTCATATATCCTTTACCCAAGATTCACCCTTTACTAGCATTTTATCCTATCTATCATTTGTTGTTTCTATAACACATGTACACAACTTTTTTGTGAACCATTTTAGAATATTTGCCCTTAAAAACTCCAGTGTGTATTTCCTAAGACTAGGAATATTCTCTTCCATAATCATGGTGTAGTTATCAACTTCATAAATTTACTTTGACATAACATTTCATCTTATCTAATCTACCATCCACATTTTAATTTTGTCAGTTGATTTAACAGTAATAAGTATTGTAACATTTTCCTCCATCCAGGGCAGGATACAATCTAGGAGGAGATGTTGTTTTAGCTGCCATGTCTTTTTGGCTCCCATTAATCTGGAACATTTTCCACAGCCATTCTTTGTCCTTTATGATATGGACATTTTATTTATTTTTATTTTTATGTTTTTATTAAGGTATCATTTATATACAATCTTACGAAGGTTTCACATGAGCAACATTGTGGTTACATTTATTCATATCATCAAGTCCCCCCAACACACCCCATTGCAGTCACTGTCCATCAGCATAGTAAGATGCTACAGAGTCATTACTTGTCTTCTTTGTGCTATTCTGCCTTCCTTGTGACCTACCTATACTATATGTGCTAATTATAATGCCCCTTATTCCCCTTCTCCTTCCCTCCCTCCCCACCCCCACCATTCCTACTTCTTCCCTTTGGCAACTGCTAGACCCTTCTTGAGGTCTGAGTCTGCTGCTGTTCCTTCAGTTTTGCTTTGTTGTTATGCTCCACAAATAAGTGAAATCATTTAGTACTTGTCTTTCTCCACCTGGCTTAATTCACTGAGCATAAAACCCTCTAGCTCCATCCATGTTGTTGCAAATGGTAGAATTTGTTTTCCTCTTATGGATGAATAATATTCCATTGTGTATATGTACACCTTCTTTATCCATTCATTTGCTGATGGACACTTAGGTTGCATCCGTATCTTGGCTATTGTAAATAGTGCAGCAATAAACATAGGGGTGCATATGTCTTTTTGAATCTGGGATCTTGTTTTCTTCGGGTAAATTACTAGGAGTGGAATTCCTGGGTCACATGGTATTTCTATTTTTAGTTTTTTGAGGAACGTCGACGATACGGACATTTTCAAAGAATGCAGTCCCATTCCTACTTTGTAATCAGAACTTCCTCATTTTGTATTTGATGTTTCCTCATGATTGGAATATTGCATAAATGATACTGTATCCTTTTCTGAGTGTCCCTTAGTAAAATCCAGTGTAAAGTGTTGCCCCAATTTCTCTAGTACATACTTTTCCTTCTTTTATAACAAATAAGCAGTCTGTGAGTATACACTTTAAGCTCATGCAAATATCCTGTTCCTCATCAAAATCGGCCTGCAATTTAGCATCCATTGATGATTCTTGCCCAGTTCCCTCTCTACTGATCTTACTATGCATGAGAGCTACAAAATGAGGATTTTCCAACTCTAGCATTCCGTCCACATTTACTAGTAAGTACTTGGCATTCTACTGTAAACAAGGACCTCCTTCTCTCCTATTAATAATTGATAAGGACTTAGAAATTTTTCAATGATTTTTAATTCCCTATAATAATAATAATAACTTAATTGTTTTGGTGTTCAAATTGTTTCAGGTCTGGCCATGAGATTTGCTTCTTTAATTTGACTCCTGTGTCCTTGTGATGCACCCCATTATTCTTCTGAGCCACATTCATTTTCCTACCTTCTGTTATAACAAGTTGTTCTTGCTCCAACCTGTACTTTTCCTGTTCCTGCCCTGGAATCAGCCATTTTTCCAGGGCACTCTAATTATTCTTAGTGGGGAAGAACAATACTAAAGGCAAAGATCTGGGTACAAGGTATGCTCACTAGACTGGGGCATCTTTATGTCTTGGCCTTTTGAATGGAGAGAGGTAGAAAATATATGCATACATGTACACTTTATACACTTAAATATAGAAATAATATCTACATACAACCACATATTTTCAAAATTGTGAAAATTCACAATACTCTCAATTCTGATGCCCCCACCATGGTGTTTTTTTTTTGCCTATATTTCTAATAAGCATCTCAAGTGATTCTTCTCATTAGGGATGTTTAGGAAACACTGCTAAAGATTGCTGATGAATCTCAGCCACAATTCAGTGGTTTTCCATGAAATTCAATTAGATCCAGGACAAATTAATTTAAAACACTGGGTATTCTCTTTCTAATCAATTTATCTTGGCTACCAATTCCCTGTTTGTACCAAATATCTGCTTATTCAATTCCATTCTGAGGATCATTGTCTTTGAAGATATAAAAACTTAAAGTGACCACTTTCTCAGTCATCATTAGCCAATGGCCAGAGCTTTGAGTGTGACACATTTCTCTTTCTAGTTTTTCTTGCTGTTAATGTTGACTTAAAACTTCAAAAAAAAAAAAAGCTCATTATTACTTTTGGGGAAGATGCTCCAGCACATTTTAGTCTTAAGCATTCAGGCTACCTTCTTAGGAGTTCACCACTCGTGTGTGTATATAAGGTATGTATGTGGTGTATAAGTCTGTGTGTATATGTCATATATATGTTTTAAATATATATAGTAATGTGTTCTCAGCCTTTCTCCTCCTCCCCCCCCTTCTCCCTGCTACCACTACTGGTTTTCCTCATAATACTATAGGTTCAATTTCCTAAATTTGGTGCCTACTAACAATGGGCACTCACTAATAATCTATCAATGCCCACTATACACTATAAAGGACTATGAACATGTAAATTATTAGTATTCTACTTCATTAACTGGGCCTTCTTTGTTGGTTAGAATTAGGTCCAGAATAGCAGTTCTCTTTATAGTTTCTTTTACTGTTGCCAGTCAGATTAAGGCAGATCTTGACCAATACTGGTATATGGCAATGAGGGAATACAGGAAGAGGAATGGAGAAAAATCCTAAGGGGATGGTAGTGTAAAGAGAAGGAAGTTCTGTGGCAACTAAGCAAACATATTTTTGTAGACATGTGAAGACTATCCTGAATAAAGTCAAGGAAGAACTTCAAATGAATGAAGTCTGAAATGGACTGGTTTGGAGCAGTACAGAGCAGCTCTAATTACTCCTTGTACCAGTTTCTTTATCCTTCAAATGAGGATAGTAATCATATCTACTTCACAGGGATTTTATGAGAATTTAAATAAGTTAATACCTGTTCGGTAATGAACAAGGTTATTCCTGCCAAATAAAATCCTTTTTCTTTTACAAACAAAGTGACAAAATGCATTTGGTAGAGATTCTCCCATCCCCTCACCCCCTTTTAGGGTTATCCGTGTGATACATTAGCAACATTACCATGTGAGAACTACAGGAATCCACTACAGCAACAACACAGAAAACCAGATCTATTATATACAAAAAACTTGAAGGAAATTTCTAAGTGTCTAAAACTCTTTTGTGAGGCCAATTATCATAGACATAAATAATCAGATTTATGAAAACTGATATTTTTCAGAGGTATTTTCTAACCGGTCTCCCACTTTCCAAGGTTATTCATTTTATAAAGGATCCCAATGTGTAGCAGAAAACTACTATATTCACTATTATAATACAGACTATTTATAGATTAACAGATTTCTGTAATTTCTCATTTGCTTGTGAAAAAGAGCATAAAAATATTAAAATTCAGGACATATATACTATCAATCCCAAAGTACCCCAAAACAAGATAATCCTAATACTTACTTCATCTCTATAAAGTGGGCTAGTGTAATACATTATGTCCATTGCACTGCTGTTTAACATATCCCTTAAGCCCCGTACTTTGTCAGGAGTAATTGAATCAACAGTGTCTACAAAAAAAAAAAAAAAATTTTTTTTTTAAATGTAGGCAAGATCTCTGTTTAGGGAAAAAAAGAATTGTGAAAAAAACCACATTCCCTAAAATAAAAGGTCTTCAGGTTAACATTTAAATATTCAAGACTAGTTCTGGATCTAATGAACCACAACTTCTTGCAAAATGTTGCGAGGAAACAAAAAGACAAAAGGGGGCATGAAAAGGAACAAAAAGGACAAAGACCATTATCAAATCTATGAAGACCATTTTTTTCTATGTACTGGCTTTTTCTTGACATTTGGAGTAACCAGGCAATCTCTCTTCCTGGGACATGTGTCAAGGGATACAATCTCACTCTTTCTGTACCCCTTTACTGTTTCCTTTCTCCTTTTCTTTGCCCTATGTATGGTGGGCCTGGCAATACCCATGTAGAATGCCTAGAACCACTGGTGACAAACCAGCAACTCATTAAAAAGTTTCCCTACACTTCACGTGATGAAACAAAGGTCTCTGGGCAGGAGCTGTCAAATTACAGATACTGTATGCACAGAGGCAAATCAGCAATGGGCCTCCTTCGTAAGCAAGATAAAGTTAGTGTAATTCACTTCTGAAAACAAACTGTTGCAGAAACTGCATTGCAAAACACATTTGATTTCTCTGGGTTGACAGCTAACTTATGCAAATTCTACCTTGGGAAGATTATTCTATTAAATGCCTAATAAAATGATTACAGATGCCAAAAATTTTCACCTTTCTTACATAAACATAAAGAAATCCTATACTTGGATATCATGACTTGAAAGTACAAGGTGGGGAGAAGAAGGCTCATATTTTTAGTTGTGTACAATTTCTTTTATCTTCCAGTTTTCTACTATATCAGTTTAAATTATTTTTATTTATTCCAGTTTAATATAATCTAAAAAAATATAATATAAAAAATGACTTAAAGGCAGCGACCCAAACAAAAGCTGTAAGACTTTTTAAAGATGTAAAGGGAAATAGCGTGACTGCTTATGGGTAGCACAACATATTTATGGCCTCTGCCTATTTTTAAGTTGTAAAAAAGTTAAAATATGTGACTTCCATGCTAATACGAAAAGTTTAGATGTCACTTTAATGCATTTCCAAAAAAAGTCTATACTGTGAAATTCATATACCAAAGGTATTTAATATATATATGCAGCTCAAAGAAAGCTTATTAAAGAGTAACATAAAAATAACTTATAACAACAATTTTGACTTTCTTTATAGATTTCCTACCTGTCCATTAGTCTTAATAATTTGAGCCTATTCTATAGCATTTACTATGTTCTGGAGCCTAAGTATTTTATTTTGTCTGTTTCTGAAGATTATTTAAATTGGGTTAATGTACCTGGTTTGTTTCAGCTCCAGTATTAATGTTTCTGAGATTCACCAATGCATATAACTGTAATCCTCTCATTTTTCTTGCTGTATTCTACTCTTAACATATCTTACAATTTACCCATTTTCCTTTGAAAGACATTTGGGTTGTTTCTAGTTTTAGTTTGCTAATATAAATTGTGCTTCTAATAACACTGTTGTACATGTCTCCTAGTATACATAAGTAACAGAGTTCCTTTGGGGTATAAATATCTAGGAATGATAGTTCATAATGCGTGATCAAAACCGAAAGTTTCTGTGATGACTGCCCTTGCACTGTTCACCATCTAAGAACTTATTCACTATGTAAGAATTTGTTCATAATGTAAGAACTTGTTCGTTATGCTTCAGAAGATTGGAGACTGACGAGAATTAGGCTGGGGGTGGATTAATGATTGTGCATTGAGCATTGACTCCCCTATACAGAATTTTATTGTTGTTAACAACCATTTGATCAATAAATATGAGAGACGCCCTCTCAAAAAAAATAAAAATAAAATCTAGGAATGAAACTACTGTGTCATAGGGATGGATGTAATATATCATTATAATTTTTATTTGCATCTCCTTGATTACTAATGAGATGCACTTTATAGTATATAAAATATATTTAAAAATATACCACTCAGCCATAAAAAAAAAAAAAAATGAAATGTCACTATTCATCTGTACCCTTTGTAATATCCTTTAAACCAGTAAATGTAATTTAAACCAGTAATTGAAAGTAAATATTTCCCTGAGTTTTATGAGTCCTTCTAGAAATTACCGAAACTCAGGGTGGGATCGTGGGACCTCCCCAATTTATACCTGGTCAATCAGAAGTACAGACAACAAACTGGGATTTGTGATTGGCTTCAGAAGTGGGTGGGAGGCAGTAGTGTGGGACTGAGTTCTTAACCTGACTGCACTATCTCTGGGCAGTTAGTGTTATAATTTAGTTAAATTTTAGGATACTCAGTTGGTGTCCATCAAGAATTGGAAAATTGGTTGGTGTGGGGAAAAAACCCAACACGTGTTGAGAATAGAGAGAAATAACGGTGTTTTTCCTTTAGTTTCTTTCACTCAGCGTAATGCCTTTGAGATTCTATTACAGTAATTACAGAAAATTACATAGTCAGGGGCTTTATTAAATGTTAGTTCATCCATGTTGCCTACACTCCTGAGCAGCCTAACAAACTTGTCTGGGTGAATGCAAAAAGCCCAAAAGATAGTGTATTACACTAGAAATTTATATATGATCTGTTGCTGCTAAGAAGCATTCTTTGGTCACTAGCATTTTTTTTTTAAACTCATTACAATTTTTGATGCCATCTGAGTAACTGACATTCCTGACTGACTGACTACGAGACAGAATCACAGACTTGGAAGAATCCTTGGAAACCATCCAGGAAGACAGGTCAGCACTATGATGAACAAGGGCTCTGGTATCATACAGACCTAGATTCTGCCTGCCATTCTTAGTTAAATTCATCTGAGTTTCTGCTTCCTTATCAGTAAAACAGAAAAAATAAAATAGGTATTTCACAGATTTGTGACAAGATTAAATAAGCTACTTCACTAAAAAAAACTTCAGATTGCCAGGCACACAGTAAAGGCCCCACAAATGGCAGTTGCTATTATGTCCAGTACGATTCTGATTTTCCAGATTATGTAAACAATCAATCTGAACATTCTATTTCAGTAGTTTTAATATTCAAAGGATACAACTTTGTGTATAAAAAGATGCGTATTTCAGCTAACAGCTCTTTAAAGAAGTAAACAAAAATGATTTCATTTAAAAAATATATTGTACAATTTCTCTAATATGCTAGATTATAATTCACCAGCCCAGGGGACACAGGAACAACAACAAAAGAAAGCAAAAAACCTGATATTTTAATCTTCCAAATATGGGTTGGGGGGGAATGGGGATTATTAGGAAGAAAATCTTAGCTCATATGGAAATGTGGACAACAAATGTTTTGAAAGTATTGACAGATCACTTTTCTGTCAAAAACTTTGGAAAACATTTTGTATCTTCCACATGCTTCCTGTCCTTCTAATCCACAGAGGGCATAAATTAAAACTGCTCTCTCTGAAACTGAAATCTATATTGTGGTCCAAAATGATATGTCAATGTAATTATATATAAAAAAAAAACCAATGGATTTTATTTTCTTAATAATCTAGAACAAAGAGTTAGGATACCTCAAGACAACTAAGTTAAAGGCACTTAGGAGACATTGGCTAAATCCTTTAATTTTTAAACAAAAATGTACCTCCATCAAGAGTAAGTTTTGATCGCCACTCAACAGGCAGAAATTCAACATGTGTTGCATGGTTGGAAAAATGCCTTTCTTCTATCTTTCTTGCAGCCTCTCTCATCCTAAAAGTAAAAAATAAAAACAAACCATTCTTAGAGTAACTTCACATGTGTATTCACATGGTGTAAAATAAGATGGTCTTAAACCTATCACTTCTACTTTCTTATAACTGTCTAATTATGTTTCACTTAGTGTTATACTATGAAATAGTTTGCAACAGTAGAGCACCTTCATTTCAAAACTATTTTCCCAAATTAGCCATCTATGATTTCAAATATTCCAAGTTTTCACATATTCTGAATAATTATATGTATCTTTAGTAAGGAGAACAGTATGAAAACCCCTGTGCCATCACCCTGATCCAAATATTATCAAGTCATAGCTTGTCCTGTTTCATTTATTCTTCTCGTTCCCTCCATAAATATGGATTTAAAGTTTTTATTTTTAAAATTAAGATAAAGCAATGTTGACTTTTCTCCCTTTTGCTGTCAGTTGTATAGATTCATGATTAGCATCACCACAATCAAGTTACAGAATCATTCTATTGCCCCCAAAATTCCACCATATTATCCCTTTAAGTAGCATCCTTTCTCCCTATTTTAAAGCAAATCCCAGACATCACATCATTTAATCTATTAACTAGTCTAGTAAATACTTCTAAAATTTGTAAGAAAAACCTATTCAGTACTATTTTCATGTCAAAAAGTTTGTGCAGCAAATAAGTAAGCAAATAAGTAAGTTCAGTGGTCCCATTTTCCCAGTTAAATTATAAATGTTATTTTATAGTAACATTAAAAATGTTTCTATGCTTGTTTGAATTGAACCCCAAAACACAGCAGACCTTATGCACAGACCCTTATGCACAGAGCATATGTTCCAGCATATCTCCCGTGGATGCCTGAAACTAGACAGTACCAAACCCTATATACTACTTTTTCCCCATAGAGACATACTTATGATAAAGTTTAACTTACAAATTAAGTACAATATGAGATAACAATAATACAACAGAATTATACTTCAATAAATGTGAATGCAGTCTCTCTCAAAATCTTACTGTACTGTACTCATCCTTCTTCATATAATGTGAAATGATAAAATACCTGTATGATGAGATGAAAAAAATGACATAGGCATAGTGATGTAGCATTAGGTGACTTTGACTTTCTGATGAGACATCAGATGAGGATTATTTGCTTCTGGACCATGGCTGACCATGGGTAACTGACACTTGGAAAGTGAACCTCAGATAAGTGGGGACTACTGTACAGTTCATGCAATGTAATTGGCAGATATGTCTCTTAAGTGTCTTTTAATCTCTAGGTTCCTCTCTCTTTTTTTGCTTTGTAATTTGTCTAAGTCCTCCATCTTTATTCTTTATCAAAATTGTTTTGGCTATTCTGGGTCCCTTGCATTTCCATGAAAATTTTAGGACCAGCTTGTCAATTTCTGCAAAAAAGACAGGTGGGATTTTAATAGGAATTGTGATGAATCTGTAGACCAGTTTGGGAAGCATTGCCATCTAAACAACTTTGTCTTCTAATCCACAAACATGGGTGGTCTTTCTCATCTAATTAGGTCTTCTTTGTTTCTTTCAGTGGTGCATTGAAGTTTTCAGTGTATAAATCTTGCACTTTTGTTAAATTTGTTCTTGAGTTTTTTCTTCTTTTTGATGCAATAATACATGGAAATACTTTCTTAAATTTTGATTGTTCATTGCTAGTGTATAAATATTTTCTACATTGATCTTGTATCCTGCAAATCTGCTGAGTTCATTTATGGCGCTAGTAATTTGTGTATGTGTGGATTCCTTAGGATTGTCTATATATAAGATGATGTCATCTGCAAACAGAAATGGTTCTAATTCTTTTTTCTATTCTGAATCTCTTTTCTTTGTCTTGACCAATTGCGGTGGCTGAAACCTATAATACATTACAGAAGTGGTGAGCAGGGACAGTTTTGTTTTGTTCCTGATCTCAGGGGATGGCTTTCAGTCTTTTGTTAAAGTATAATTTTAGCTGTGAGCTTGTAGATGTCCTTTATCAGGTTGAGGAAATTCTCTTCTACTTCTAGTTTCCTTAGTGCTTATATTATGAAAGGGCATTAGATTTTGTCAAATGCCTTTTCTGCTTAAGAAACAACAGTTATATTCCTGTGTTCTCTTAATGTGTGTGGTGTACTGCCCTTAATGGATTTTTTAAAAAATGTTGAACCAACCTTGCATAGTTGCGATAAAATCCCACTTGGTCATAGTGTATAATCCTCTTTATAATTTGCTGGATTCAGTTTGCTGGTAGTTTGTTGAGGATTTTTGTGTCCATAAGGGATAGTGACTTGTGCTCATAAGGGAAATAGTAGTCTAGTTTTTTTTCCTGTTACGTCTTCAATCTGGTTTTGGTATCAAGGTAATATTGGTCCATTGACTGAGTTGCTGGGAAGTCTCCCTTTTCTCTTCCACCTTGGAGAGTTTGTGAAGAACTGGTGCTGATTCCTTTTTTTGTTTCATAAAATTCACTAGTGAAGCCATCTGGTCCTGGGTTTTTTTTAAGACAGTTTTTTTTTGGCTATTAGTTCAAATGCTTTATTTGTTAAAGATCAATTCAGATTTTCCATTTCTTCTTACCAATCACCAAATCAGTTTGGTAGTTTGTGTCTTTCAAGAAATTTGTCCATTTCATCTAGGTTATCTCATTTGTTGGCACAGAACTATACAGAGTATTCCTCTAAATCCTTTTGTTTCTATAAGATCAGTTTAAATGTCCCCTTCTTATTTCCTGAATGTAGTTATTTGAATCTCCTTTTTCTTGGTCAGTCTAGCTAAAGGTTCTTTCATGTGATCTTTTTCAAAGACCCATATAATATATAGATATCTTCCTCATTGTGCTTTACAACTGCATAGTTTCCCATTAATATATATAGCTATAGTTATCAACTAGTCTCTTACTGATGAACATTTGGGTAGTTTACTATTATCAGTAATGCTGCAATGAATTGCCTTGTACTTATGTCTTTTTGTATTTTTGCTGATACTGTCTTTGAATCAGAAGTACGGGTAAATGCATATATAATTCTGACAAATACTGCTACATATTTTCTCCTTCATGGCATTCAACTGTTAGTATGAGAATACCTATTACTTACAGCCTGACCAAAAGAGTATATTGTTAAAATTTTGGACTTCTGCTAATCTAATAAGTCAAGAAATGGTAACTGAATGTAATTTTAATTTACATTTTATGAGTAAGGTTGAGCATTTCCTTCACTGGGAATCAGCTGTTTACATTTTTATTCTACTTTTCCATAAAGTGGTCTGACACTTTTTCCCCTTTATTTTTAGAAGTTATTTATATATTAGGGTTATTAACTTCATCTGCAATATAAGTTACACATGCTTTTTACCAGTTTGTCTTATTTTTTTGCCATATGGCTTTTTGGGGCTGATGTAATATTTATTAACATTTTTCCCTCATTGCTTCTTGATCAAATCATAGGACAGTTTTCTCTATCTTGCGGTACAGAAGAATTCAAACTCCTCTCAATCCCACCTTTTAAATGTATAGTATTGGTATGGTTTCATTTTTTATGTTTAAATGTGATCCAAATAAAATTGATCTTAATGTGAAAAATGGATCCAATTTTATTTATTTCCATATGGCCATTTAGTTATTCCAACACTATTTGTTATGAAGTCTTTCTCCATTTTCAGTATATATTAAAAGGCATTATTTATAATGTAATTATACTTAATTGATTGTATATCATCAAAGTTGCCATTTTGAAGAGTTTCAGTAGATTCAAGGTTGTCAAAAAGAAAAATTTGCTTCCCTTATCATCGCCTTATGTCACCTGAAAATAAAGATGATAGCTAAAACATCAGACTTGAAGGCAGGATCTCTTTCAATACTGACAGTGTCTGAAAGGTCCATTTTTTATGGCAAGCATTCTAGTAATGGTTATAGATAATTTTTTAAGTTTCTTCACCAACTTTCCAAATGATTTAGTTTTAACAAGAATGAGTGTACCCAAATACATTTTAAGTTTTCTAATATTATTCTATCGACACATTCATTTCAATGGCTGTACAGTTCTTATAAATTTCACTGTGGTATAATATCTAGGAAGTAGTATGTGTATTGCTATCCAGAATTTAAAAAAAAATCATTTAGACTAGTGGTTCTCAACCATGGGCAATTTTTTCCTCCAGGGAACACCCAGCAATGTCCAGAGACATTTCTGGTTGACACAGTAGGGGTTCTATTTGTATTTGGTGGGTAAAGTCAGGGATTGCTGCTACATACAATGCATAGGCCAGCCCCCTATAACAAAGAATTCTCTGGTCAAAAATGTCAATGGTGATGGGATTGAGGAATCCTAATTTTGAGTTATAAATTCAGCAGCCCTACTTTTGCTTAAAATATTACTGTTCTCTTCTATAGTAAATTTATACAACCTTCCACTCCACAGGATCACTATCGTAGGTCTCAAATAGTCACAAATGTAGATACCAATTAAGCAAGCATGTGTGTCTACTAAAACACTTGGTTTATCTGTACACATATGCACAGGAAAGGAAATAAATACAAAATATATATATATATATAAGAAAGGAGGTAAACAGAAAATCATGAAAATAATCTCCAATATACATTTTTACATAAGAAGGTGTATACACTCTGCCATCTTTAGTGTGAATTGTATGTATTTGATTTAAAAAAACTTTAGAAAAATATAAAATGAATAACACTGGTTTGAGACAAGGAAAAGGGACAGTGGGGGAATATGGGGACAAGAATGGCAGTCAGATCTATACATTTTTAAATTTTATACATTTTTCACACTACACATTTTTATATTTTGATTTATGAACCATGTAAATATATTTCCTATTCAAAAGATCAATTTTGTTGACATTCTTGTTTGCTATTTTTCTCCCGTTTTTTCGGTCTTAAGGGATTTGTCTTAAAAAAAAATTCCCTTCCTTTCATTTTTAGTGAGGTCTCATGAGGGGATATGCTTAGGTGTTAAATCTGCCATGTTTAACTGAAAGTCTATACTATTCTAC